AAATAAATAAATAAAATCTTAAAAAAAAAAAAAATATATATATATATAGGGTGCCTGGGTGGCTCAGTTGGTTAAGCGACTGCCTTCGGCTCAGGTCATGATCCTGGAGTTCCGGGATCGAGTCCCACATCGGGCTCCCTGCTCAGCGGGGAGTCTGCTTCTCCCTCTGACCCTCCCCCCCTCATGTGCTCATTCTCGCTCTCTCAAATAAATAAATAAAATCTTTAAAATATATATATATACATATTTTCATTTAAATTACTTTAAATCGGGATGCCTGGGTGGCTCAGTCGGTTGAGTGTCTGCCTTTGGCTCAGGTAGTGATCCCGGGGTCCTGGAATTGAATCCCCATGGGGCTCCCTGCTCCTTGCTTAGTGGGGAGCCTGCTTCTCCCTCTGCCTGCTGCTCCCCCTGCTTGTGTACACTCTCTCTGACAAATAAATAATAAAATCTTTAAAAAAATTACTTCAAATCAACGAATTTTTAAAAACTTAACCTTGTTTTAAGTAATATTTGTGGGATATATTAGGTTTGAAGTAAAATGTGTGTGGGTTAAATATATAACTATTAAAGATGTGTACTGCCTGAAATTATCTTGTTTATCACTAATTGCACATGTATCACACTTTGGGAAAGACTCATCCTATCAATTCCAAAGAGAGTTCAGGGAACATCTGGTGGTCAGTGATAGTTTTAGTTCTTGGACCACAGTACACCCACATGGGAAGTTTAAGACGGGAGAGTACTTACAGTGTGTCAAAAGTCAAGGGCAAAATTAACCCAAATCAGTTGAAAACATATGTCCACATAAAAACATGCACAGAGATATTTATAGCAGCTTTTTTCATATTCGCCAAAACTTGGAAGCAAAAAAGATGTCCTTTAGTAGGTGAATGGATAAATAAATCGAGGTACATCCAGACAATAGAATATTATTCAGTGCTAAAAAGCCTTAAAAAGGTATGGAGGAACCTTGAATGCTTATTACTAAATGAAAGAAATCAATCTGAAAAGACTACACAGTTTATGATTCCAACTGTGACATTCTGGAAAAGGCAAAATCATGGACACAGTAAAAATAACATTATTTGCCAAGGGTTATAGGAGAGGAATGGATGAATTGGTAGAGCACAAAGGATTTTTCAGGCAATGAATCTTCTGTATGATAAAATAATAGATACGTCATTATACATTTGTCCAAATCCACAGAATGTACAATACCAAAAATGAACCTAATATAAATTATTTGAGTGATAATGATATGTCAATGTAGGTTTATCAATTGTAACAAATATACCACTCTGGTGAGGGATATTGATAAAACTGATAATCAGGGAGGCTGTCTGGAGAGAGGGTGTATGCACAAGTGTGAGCGGGTAGAGGGGCAGAGGGAGAGGGAGAGAGAGAATCCTTTTTTTTTAAAGATTTTATTTATTATTTTATTTATTTTTTTTGACACAGAGAGAGAGATAGTGAGAGCAGGAACACAAGCAGGGGGAGTGGGAGAGGGAGAAGCAGGCCTCCCGCTGAGCAGGGAGCCCGATGCGGGACTCAATCCCAGGACCCTGGGATCACAACCTGAGCCAAAGGCAGACGCTTAACGACTGAGCCACCCAGCCACCCAAGAGAGAGAATCCTTAAGCAGACTCTGCACTGAGCGTGGAGCCCGACATGGGGCTCAATCTCATGACTCTGAGATCACAACCTGACCCAAAACTAAGAGTTGGACGCTTAACCAACTGAGCCACCCAGGCAGCCCAAAAACTGCACTTTCTGCTTAATTTTGCTGTACACCTAAAGTTGCTCTAAAAAATAAAGTCTTTCCTTAAAGATTTTATTTTTAAGTAAACCTTACATCCAATGTGGGGCTTGAATACACAACCCCAATATCAAGAGTCACACGTTCCACTGATTGAGCCAGCCAAGTGCCCCTAAAGATTTTTTTTTAAAGATTTTATTTATTCATTTAAGAGAGAGAGAGACAAAGAGAGCACAGGCAGAGAGAGAGGCAGAGGGAGAGGGAGAAGCAGACTCCCCTCTAAGCTGGGAGCCTGACGTAGGGCTCGATCCCAGAACCTGGAGATCATGACCCCAGCCGAAGGCAGACACTTAACCATCTGAGCCACCCAGGTGGCCTTGCTCCTAAAGATTTTTTTTAAGTAATCTCTACACCCAACATGGGGCTCAAACTTATAACTCAGAGATCAAATTGTATACTCTACCAACTGAGCCTGCCAGGGGCCCCCCACTACTACTACTCTAACCTCTCACCCAGCCAAACATATGTTTCTTACCCAACAGTCAATTTCACCTCCAAACTATTTTAACGTGAACTGCCCCTAGCCCTACCCCCAGCTCCCATTCTCCCATCCTTCCCATTCTTGTCTATTCAACTCAAATTCATCCTCCAAGGTTCAAGTCAACTTCTTTGTGACACCTTTCTCATCTACACTAACCTAAAATATAAAATACTCAAAACTATTTTACTTGCATTAAGAATTATTGTTTCACCTAAAATTCTTTTGTTTTTTATAGGCATCAGTCTCATCTGCTAAACTAGATTGTACTTACTTAAATGTAGTTAACAATGACATATACATCCTCTGTAGATTCCAAAGCAATAGAAACATAGTAGGTATGCATTAAATATTAAACTTATGGTGAAAATACAAATACCAGACAAAAAGCAGGGAAAGATGAGGAAGAAAAGGAGAAGCTAAGGTAAACACTGAAGGTTCCTAAGGAAACAAAACAAGCTCAACATATCATTATCAACTTACTTGGCATCTGCTCAGGGGAGCCGAGGTTTATGGAGTTGTCAGCAGCACCCACAGCCACTCCATTAATGGAAGAACCACAGTCTGCAATGACTCCCAGGCAGGCTGAACGCCCACAATCCCAAAGTCGTGCTGTCCCGTCTCGAGAACCAGACACCACATTCCTCCCCCGATCAACAATGGCTGTATCCAGAATACCTGGCAAGAGAAATAAAAAAGCCCCTAAGATGGAATGGGTGGTAAAGAAACTACAAGAGCAGAGAAAATGGATCGGCATAAATGACTCCAGTGCTTCACAAACGTGTACTGGATATGTACTATATGCTGAGCAAGTTCAAGTGCTAGAAAAACAGAACAGAGTCCTTGCTTCCCAATGGTTCAAAGACTAGCCCTTAGAGACAGACATGGAAAAAGGTTTGGATTTCTTAATGAGGTGTCCTAGAACAGTGATTTTCAGTTTTAATTTTGCCTTTAAAATGTGTTTTAAATAAAAATTAAGAAGACATCTTAGTTCAGTTTGAAAGTCACTGTCTTATTGCTTCCACTGAGAACTAACTGAAAGGATTAATCTCCCCATCTTAAAAAAAGATGTGACTTCTGGTCTGGCCAAGTGACAGTAGCCCCATTTCTCCCAGGTCCTTCCCCTTATAACTGAAAAAAACCTGGACATAAGACAGGAAGTATAAGAAGACTGAAAGGGGTACCTGGGTGGCTCAGTCGTTGGGCGTCTGCCTTCAGCTCAGGTCATGATCCCAGGGTCCTGGGATTGAGTCCCACATCGGGCTCCCTGCCCAGCGGGAGGCCTGCTTTTCCCTCTCCCACTCCCACTGCTTGTGTTCCCTCTCTCGTTCTCTCTGTCAAATAAATAAATCTTTAAAAAAAAAAAGACTGAAGATGGAAAGAAGGTCACCTAGGGACCTGAGGACTTGAAGAACAACAGGGTAACAAATTCCCTGAATTTCCTTATTGCTTCCCATACATCCTGGATAGGATACTGCAGAAGCCTCCAACAAGGAATTGATTAAAAAACAAACAAACATACACAAATTTAAAAAAAACAAAAACAAAACAACCCAAATCCAAGAAATGTCTGTTGCAAAAGACTGGAAAAGGGGTGGCCTAACAGAAAATGTTGGCAATTTACTCAAATAGCAAGAGAAAAACTGCTACTTCCCCTTCCCCAAGGTCAGTGAGGCTAAATAGGGAGTGCTCTTCTACCCTACTCCCACTGAAGCAGGAGGCAGCAGTCCAATTCCCTTGACCCTTGACAGTGATCAGGCCCAGCAGGGTGCTGCCAGCAGGGTCCAGTAGTGAGCTGAGCCCCTACCCTGACCTGGCAATAACAGGTGGAAAGAGAAAAAACAAAGTAGTGGGAAGTAGCACTCTAGTTTCTCCCAACCCCCTCTTACAATATAGTGGCAACTCGTTTGGGTCTCTTCACTCTTAGATGACAAGAATAAAAGAAAGAGGAGCCCTACAGGAGCTGGAACCTATGACAAATTACTCTAGAAAGAAGCTATGAAAGTAGTAGGCAGCTCTTGTAAGAGAAGCTGCCAGAGCAAAGACCTACCTGAAGCCACAAAGGCTTTAGCTATCAAACCAAACTGATACAAGTCAAGATAAAAACCAAGATACAAAAGCATTTGCCTTCAAGAAAAGATTCACATATAAACATCCTAGCCAATGTCTGGGAAATAAGAATGTTAAGTGAAACTATGACTAAAATAAGTATTAATAAGAAATAGAGCAACATTTATATATCTAGGCATGTTTTTAACCAATTTACTCTATTAAGATTATCTAGTTTTATTATTATATGAAGCTGGTTTAATGTTGCTAGGAAGCAAACACACATATGAGGGAAGGGGAAATGTACGTGTGTGTGTGCGCGCGCGTGCGCGCATGGAAAGAGTAATGGCTGCGACTCAGATCTCAGAAAAAATGAGCCTTGAAGCACCTACTATTACTTGGAGGCAGCACATCCTATTTCAAAGAAAATATAGAAGAGTTTGAAAATAATGGCCTAAGTGCTGAAAATGCAACCTGACCTCCTAAAATTATTCTACAAATGTAAGCAGCTTTCCTACCAGGGTGAGCAAAAAACTCAACCAATCAACTACAGTGGTATTTCATTTGGCCTCAACGTTTTCATAAATTATGAATGATCTGGTGTTTATTAGAAATAATTATGATTATTAAATTATTATTACTCAAAGGATTGTATTATATAAACCTCCAAATTCACCAACCTAATTAAATGGCCTGTGCAATTTAAAAACTTCAAACTAAAGTATACCTTAGAGCTACTTAGAAGACTCATATACAGTAGTCTCCCCTTATCTACACTGTCACTTTCTCTGGTCAAACACGGGACGTGAATCACATCACTTTACCCAGCATATCCACGCAGTATCCATTTGCCTGTCATATATGATAGATTTGTACATATAGGAAAAGATAGTATATACACAGTTTGGTATTATCCGCAGTTTCAGGCATCCACTGGAGGTCTTGGAACGTATCCCCCATGGATAAAGGGGGACTATTATATTACAAAGACAAAACTGTGCTCACTTCGGCAGCACATATACAAAGACAAAACTACTTTTAGTTTATCTTTTCATCAGAAGAATTTAAAAACATACACAAATCTCCTCTCTGCTTGTTAAAGAACACAGTAATCCTTTATATTTATATATAAAATATGTATCTAAAAATATAAGGGAAAACCAATTACATATTAACTAGGATCATATTTGTTGCTACTGGAAAAATTCTATTAGAATTAGAATTAGTCTATTCTATTAGAAATAACAATTTCTGCTTTTCACATATGACAAGTATTTTTGTTAAAACATCACAAAGCTCACCCCCCCTGCCTGGGATTAAAGTTTAGCTTTATATTTTATATGAACAATAACATTTATTGTGCACTTATTATAATACCAGGGATTATGCTAAATCCTTCACATGCATCATCTCATTTACATGAGGAAACTAAGGCTCAGAATGGTTAAGCAACTTTCTTTTTTTTTTTTTAGATTTTATTTACTTATTTGAGAGAGAGAGAATGAGAGATAGCACAAGAGGGAAGAGGGTCAGAGGGAGAAGCAGACTCCCTGCTGAGCAGGGAGCCCGATGTGGGACTTGATCCCGGGACTCCAGGATCATGACCTGAGCTGAAGGCAGTCGCTTAACCAACTGAGCCACCCAGGCACTCGGTTAAGCAACTTTCTGAGGTCATACAGATTATATATATATGTGGAAGAATTAAGATTTAAACCAAGATTTACATGTCTCCAAATCCCATGCTTAAACACCCTACATACTGTCTCACTATTATATTTTCATATACTAGAAGCAATAAGAAAGCCAGGGACTTAATTAAACTAACCAAAGTTTATCCTTTACACAAGATCTTTATACAGAGCTACTTTGTTAGTGTCCTAATGGTTCTTTGCAATAAGCATCAGGCTATGTTCAGTCCAGTGTTCCTGGTGGTTTCTTTTATGTCTCGCTTGCCAAGACTTAACCTAGGCAATAAAAGACCATGTTCACTTTCAACACTCACTAACTTCTTTTGGGGAGGGGGGGGCAGCAAAGCAAGGTTTATTGACCAACAGCAAAAGTGATCGTACAAAGCTTCCGAGGAGGGAGGGGACCCCAGAGGACTGCCCAACACTCACTATCTTCTGTTTTTCTTATTTAGTCACCACTTGTGAAACCACTAAAGATCATACATGCCGGTAATAATTTTTATTCTATTTTTTATGTAGTTCATGGCCTTTGCTCATAAACATGCTTCAAAATTTTGTAACTAAAGAGATTAAAAAAGGAGCCATGCAACGCAACTTGGAATTCAGTTGGCTGGAGTGACCCATATGCTGCTAAACTATCAGAGATTAATTTTGATTTTCTGTACTGTGGAAGAACAGGCAACACCAAATCTGGCCTTACTTTACAGAACTACCTGGGCAGGAGCATTCAAGACCTGACAAACATTAGCCTGGATCTGACTTCATGTCATTTCTCCCACAGTTTGTCACTTCTATTCAACCTAATAAAATTCCTCCTCTCAAAAAAAAAAGAAAAAGAAAAGTCAAGAGTTGTTGTATCTAGAGTATCTAGAGAAGCTCCCACCCCAACCTGGGACGTTCTCGTAAGTCCGAAGAATGAATAAAGATTCAATCGGATTGACAAACATTATGTATTTCACTCTAAGCTAAGTGATGCACATGTATTCTTCGGAAGAAATAAAGAACACTGGACGACTTAGTTTTCACATGGTGGGCATACTGCAGCTGCCCAGAGGAATTCCTAAGTTGAGTGTGCGTTGACATTGAATATGCATTTTGTTAAGCTCACAAACAGTCATGTCTTGTTCCACTGGAACTTCCCCGTGCCTCACAAATTCAGAAGGATGGCCAGATGTGAGGTGAGTACCTCAGGGTTCCTTTAGACCCATTTGGCTCCTGGACTCCCCCTCTACGCAGGCCACTTTGACTCCTCAGACCAGTCAGTTCTTCAGGGCTGAATGTGAGGAAGGCTCCAAATATCTTTTCTATTCCTTCTCAATGCACCTGTGTACTGACAGTCTTAGAAATAACCTTGCTAAGGTTAACATGTATTTGCTAGATGATCTGTATGTAACCTAACAAATCATTATAAAGAAATATTAAAACTTAAAACTCAACCACACAAGCTTTTATAACATAGTCAGGTACACAAAGCAAAAGACTAGCTTAAATACCTTAAGTTTAGGGCAATACATAATTAATTCTCAAGTGAGTGGCACACATGATATGTACTATGGTTCCAAAGGAGGGAACAAGGTAAGGAATTATTTGGGGATGTTAATATTTTTTCAAAAATATCCAAACTTGTAAAATAAGAATAACATCACCTTTTTAACATTCCAATTAAGGGTAAAACATCTCTAAATTATAATTTTTTCCCACAAACCAACCAGTTACAAAGGGAAAATGTTCTCATTCTGTCTCTATAACCTGTTATCAACTGGCTATATGGCTAATCCATTTTAAAATCTGAACTGTGACTTAAATCCGTAAGAACTGACAGTCAGTACCAAGCTCCATCTTTGATATCTAGTGATGCAGCCATTTGCCACCCAGCTTTTACTATCACCTCAAAGGACTAATAATGAGAAAATGTTGGGACACATTTCTCTCTCCTAGCACACAAGCAGATAGAACACTGGACGACTTAGTTTTCTGGGGAAGGATTTTTTTTTTCACTTATCAACTGTGGAAAACAACTATCTGTGTATAGCGGTTAATTCTAGATAGCAATAACAAGACTCAGTGTCAAAGGAATTTCTAATCCTTGAGGAAACAGCTCATTTAAATGGTCAGTTAGAGGAATTATTTGTCTTTTTGTAGATAACTAGCTTCTGTTTCTACCTTTTTGATTTGTCTCTGGGGATCATTAGAGAAGCCTTTTGGAGAAATCATCCTTCATACCTCCTTTGTGACCTTTGAAGGTCACCACACAGCTAGCATCTTCGGCTGACCAGATCTTCAGCTGGGCATCCATTCCCCCACTCAGAACCACAAGGCCTGATGGGAAAAACCTGCAACAATTCACATCAAACACATGTCCTTCCAATACTCTCTGGAAAAACAAAAGAAAATTCCATGCTAGTTCTCTGTCCATCCCCTGACATTCTCTTAACCTGTCATATCTTTGGTCCCTCAAATATCTACATGCTGGGTTTTAAAACTATGGAGGTCCAGAAGGATCTCTTTAGCTCATCTGTATACCAGGTAGTGTTCTAAGAGCTACTTACTCCCTTTTGTGTAGCTCTGGTACAGATGTTATGGATTTGAACTCCAAGGTTCTCACAGTCTCCTTAAGTCTAGTACTACATATAAGGAGCTAAGGAGGCTTGAGGACTCTTTTACTCACCTCTTCTTTTAAAATCCTCTGTATAAGTTGGAGGGGCTCAGCCATATAATCAGTATAACAGCCTACCTAATCTGTTAGCTGATCACTGAAGGCAGTTCATACCAAGGGACCACCCACTTAGACATTCACTGGCCTGGCTTCTCCACTGTTCCAGCCCCAATCTGTTCCGACAAATCACCAAGATTGAGGATGGTTCGGAGATTAACAAATGGGAGAACAAAGATCAATTGAAGTGTGGTGGTCCTATAAATTTAGAATGCACCACTCTTCTTTCTGTGACCCAGTCTAAGGCTTCCCAGACCACCCTTCACGTATAAGATCCTAAAAGCATATCCAAAGCCTTTACTCTGAGCTCGCCATTGGAAGCCTGCCAGATCTTCATGCTTCCATCAGTACTAGAAGACACACCAAGGCCGCCTCCACTGGAAATGTCCAGGCATGTTATCTGTTCAAAGACAAAATAGCTGCCGTTATAAATAATGAAATGCTCTTTTTTCCCTGAAATATGTTAAAGATCTCCCCTGTTTCACACTCCTCCAAGACTTCTTCAAGCTTATGCTTCCCAGCACAAAGGACATGTGTTTTCACCTGGAGATTGAGGTGTCATCACCTATCTCCTAACAAGGCTAGCGCCAACATCTTTTATTTCTCAAAACAAAAAGATGTTCTTGTAATCATCTATAGTCTCCTGCTTCAACTATAAAGTTTTTACTATCCCCATATCATTTCCATCTTTCGCTATTTTAATTCTTTTTTTTAAGATTTTATTTATTTATTTATTTGACAGAGAGAGAGAGAGCGCACAAGCAGGGGGAGCAGCAAGCAGAGGGAGAGGGAGAAGTAGGCTCCCGGTGGTGGAGCAGGGAGCCCAATGCGGGGCTCAATCCCAGGACCCTGGGATCATAACCTGAGCGGAAGGCAGACACTTAACTGACTGAGGCACCCAGGCACCCCTCTTTTGATATTTTAAAATTAAGATACCTGATTCTTAGGAACCCACATACACAAAAGACAGTCAACTAAAATGTACCAGAAGGATTCAAGGAAAAGCAAAGATGCTTCCACTTTACTACTTCATATTCCCTCTATAAAATCCTAATTGTGTGTATGTGTGTATTTTAGAATAAGTAACAAAAAATTCTGATTTATTTATGCAGTTTCAACATTAGCAATCACTTCATGCATAAGCAATGATCATACACATGCATACATACATACCCTTTTTATTAAAAAACACCCAGCTGCAAATATTCCAGAAACGGAGGACTGCGATACATAATCCCAGACATATTCCCGGCAACTAAGGGAAAAGTAGGGTAGGCTTTAATTACCCAATCTTCCATTTTTCTTTGCTCTATGCCAGTTGAACCATAATGAATAAGTTCAGCAAGAACTAAAGGGACATATCTGTCACCTCTAATAACTTCTAAGACTATTTCTTCCTTATTTTGGTTCCTCAGAATAAAAGTACTGTCTTTTTTTTTAAGATTTATTTATTTTAGAGAGAGAAAGAGAGCGAGCACGCACGTGCACGGGGGGAGAGGCAGAGAGAGAAAATCCTCATGCAGTCTCCCTGCTGAGCGTGGAGCCTGATGTGAGCTTGATCTCACGACCCTGAGATCATGACCTGGGCCCTAACCAAGAGTCAGATGTTTAGGCAACTGAACCAGCCAGGTGTCCCAGAATAGAAGTACCATTAACTTAATCGTGGATTCTTTAATTTTAAGGATTATGACAAAAATTAACCTTTATATCATGTTTTATCATTTAGAAAGCATTTCCAAATAACATTGTATCATTTGATTTTCATAATAATCCCATTCTGCTCCTAGCTTCCCATTGCTGGGTATTGGAGACACGGAGGTAAATCTGACATAGCCCTGCCTTACATTCTAGTACAGGAGTACCCATCTCTCAGATCTTTCTTCTCCAAAATACTGCTACTATCCTTAAACCTGCCTTAAGCCTGAATACTAGTATCATCAATTAACTTTTCAATTCTATGTCTGGCTCCCCAACTACATGACAAGCTCTATAAGTGTCAGAACAATGTCCTGCACTTTTTTTTTTGATAGATTTTATTTTTAAGTAATCTCTACACCCAACATAGGGCTCAAACTTACAATCCCAAGATCAAGAGCTGAATGCTCTGCCGACTAAGCCAGCCACGTGCCCCTTGTCCAGCACTTTCTTAACACAACCACAGGCTACGTACACAGTAACTACTCAACAAATAACAAACAATAGCAGTTTGGTAATAAGAATGAAGTACCTTGGGCGCCTGGGTGGCTCAGTTGGTTAAGCGACTGCCTTTGGCTCAGGTCATGATCCTGGAGTCCCGGGATCGAGGCCCGCATCAGGCTCCCTGCTTGGCAGGGAGTCTGCTTCTCCCTCTGACCCTCCCCCCTCTCATGCTCTCTCTATCTCATTCTCTCTCTCAAATAAATAAAATCTTAAAAAAAAAAAAAAGAATGAAGTACCTTAACAACACTAGGTAGGTGAGTAAAGCCATCTGACCCGTATCAGTAAGAGCAACTACTGTCCTCATTTGCAGGACCCCAGAAATAACATATTTAAACACTCTCCTACTCACGCTGAAGTAGTTTTAATCCCTAAAGCAACATAGCTCAACCTCTTTCCTGATGCGGGTGCTATCTACTCAACTGCCAGCTAGGCATCTACCTTTGGCTTTATAGTGGTCACCTCAAACTTACCATGTTCAAAACACAACTCTCATTTCCCCCAGCTTCACAACAATACAACTACTTGGCCTCAATCAGTAAATAGCACCGTAATTTATACACTTCTTTTGAAAATTCTGGAATGATCCCAACTCCTCATTTTCTCTCACATTTCACACCCAAGTCATTAGCAAATCCTGTCTGGTCCCACACCCCAAGAATGTAGGTGCTATACAACAGTTTTATTCATTGCTATAGTCCCAGTGCCCAGAGTACCTGGATTATAGTAGGTGATTAATAAATGGATACGTCTACCTAATAATGAACTCAAATAAGAGGAAAGGAGAATAAGAAATAGAAAAGGGGCACAATTAGGGCACCCGGGTGGCTCAGTCGGTTAAGCATCTGCCTTTGGCTCAGGTCATGATCCCAGGGTTCGGGGACAGAGTCCCATGTCAGGTCCCTGCTCAGCAGGGAGTCTGCTTCTCCCTCTGCCCCTACCACCTACTTATGCTCTCTCTTGCTCTATCTCTCGAATAAATAAAATCCTTTAAAAAAGGGCACAATTAATAATTTTTTTAAATGACCTACTTCTCTCAACTATACTCAAATAAAAATAAGTAAATTTGGGGCACCTGACTGGCTCTGTTGATAGAGCCTGTGACTCTTGATCTCAGGGTTGTGAGTTCAAGCTCCATGTTGGGCATAGAGCTTACTTTAAAAAAAAAAAGTAAATTTAATTTAATTTAAAAATGTTGTATATGTATTATATACTATATTCTTAAAAAGTAAGCTGGAGAAAAGAAAAAAAATGACCTATTTCTCAAAAGGTTTTCCCAGTTCTGCCAAAAAGTTCATCACTTCCTCCCTAATAGTCTTCCGCACTATGTTCATATATTGTAGTGGTTGTCAATCAGGGGCAAATTAGCTCATCACATTTGGTGATGTCTGGAAACATGTTTAGTTGTCACAGTTGGGGAACATTCCTCTACAATAAAGAATTACCCAGCTCAAAATGTCAATAGTGCCATGGTTAAGAAACTTTGATGTATTCTATTGTATCCTCTCAGTTAATATATTGTCCCTGGAGGGGACAGAGATATTGTTACCTTAGCTCTTTTACATATCTTTGGAGTCTCCTAGTTCCTATATCTAAAAAATAATTAAATCTGAACTATGAAGTTCTTCCAAAGTGACAAACACTGAAGAGTAGATTATAGGCCATACCAGCTATCTCCTTTCTCCAAACTTTTAAAAAAGAAGAAAGGAAACTAACATTTATTGAATAGCTATTATATACCAGACATGTAACAGACATTACCCTCATATAATACACTCAAAAATCTATTAAGATAGGGGCACCTGGGTGGCTCAGTCGTTAAGCGTCTGCCTTCGGCTCAGGTCATGATCCCAGGGTCCTGGAATCGAGCCCCACAGTGGGCTCTCTGCTCAGTGGAAAGCCTGCTTCTCCGTCTCCCACTCCCCCTGCTTGTGTTCCCTCTCTCGCTGTGTCTCTGTCAAATAAATAATAAAATCTTAAAAAAAAAAATCTATTAAGATAGGTATTGTTTCTATTTTTCAGTTGAGAAATCTGAGGTTTAAGAAGTGATTAATATCCCCAAGGTGACACAACAGAGCCAGGATGCAAACCTAGGTCAGAATTTAAAGCTAAAGATCCATTTCTTAGTTCCAGCAAAAAAAACAGATCAATGGGATAATCCTAATTATTGGATAAATATGACATTTCAAGAGAGCGAAATATAGATGGATTACTTTATAGTGCCTTGATATGCTAATCATTTCAAAAACAATTAAGTTAGATCCCTACTTTAAACCAAGTAACAAAAATAAAGTTTGAAATGTAGAAAAATAAAACATAAAAATTCAAAGAAAACACTATATTTATAATTTTATTTAACACATATCATGCTTACTATGTTTCAGATCAAATTCTGTTTCAATCCTTGTAACAACTCCATAAGATACTACTTTTATCCCTATTTTACAAATAAGAATCTGTGACATAGAGGGTAAGTACCTGGCCTAAGAGCACAGCAAGAGGCAGAACCGAAATTCAAATCCAATGAGTCAAATCCAATGAGTCTATCACTAGAGTCTATGCTCTTATCCATTATGCTGTGCAATTAAAAATTAAAAGTGAATATATATATATAGGGGCACTTGGGTGGCTCTTTCAGTTAAGTGACTCTTGATTTCAGCTCAGGCCATGATCTCAGGGTTCTGAGACTGAGCCCTCCATCAGGCTCCGTGCTGGGCGTAGAGCCTGCTTAGGATTCTCCCTCTCTCTCTCCCTCTACCCCTCCCCAACCCCTCTCCCTCCCTAAAAAAAAAAAAGTGAATATATATAAAATCATGGACTACCCTAAGCAGGACCCCAAAAGTAGTTACCATAAAGGAATAAATTGATGGGCTTTATCATCTACAAATGGACCAAAATAACACCCACAATCTAGTGTATTGCTATGTACTCTTCACCTGTCTGATCATATTCTTTTTTTCTTCTTCTTTTTCTTTCATTTAAGTCTTTTTAAAATTTTCATAGTTACAGTGATATTCTATCCTTTCAATGTATTTAATTTTATTTTTGTATATATATATGAGTTTTACTTTTCTTTCTTTTTTTTTGGAAACTAAATGTTATAATTTATTTCATCTTCATGATTACAGACATTACAGGGCAGGGTGGGTACACAAGGCATATAAAACAAACTCTTCTCCCATTTAACCAGATGCAGCATTTTGG